TTGGTTGATATTAATGTAGGTATGGATATTTGGGTTATTTGTGAGTAGAAACGTTTGCTTTTTGAGTTTTGCTCGATCATCGGTGTCTGGAGGCGAAAAAAAAAAAAAAGTGCATTGCAAAACAATTTTTCTTGTTGTGATTCATTCCGTCTTTTGTTAAACTGGTTTCTTTCTTGTTTTGTATCCATGTCCCTTTTGATTATTGTCAAATACTGCTGAACAATGTGTTGGTTATTATATCCTGCCTTTTAATCTTCAATCGTCTTTTACAAGTCTAATTCACTAATGTTGAATATAGATGCCATTTATAAAATTACTCATTGTATACACTTTTTTCTTTTTCTTTTTTTTTTCTTCTTTTCTTTTCTAGTCGTTTTGCTTTTACAAATTTTTGATTTTTTTTTTTTCAACAACTTTTCTTTCATCAGCATCATTTAGTTTTACTTCTTAGTACATATTTTTTTCCCCTGTTCGCTTCTGTTTACTAGTTAAAGGACACTTTGTTATCTTGATTTTAGCGTATTCTTGTTTGAGAAAAAGCAGGATGAAAACAGAAAACGCTTTTTGAAATTCTGGTGTATTTGCAATTTCGTCAGCTGACATCCACATCTACGATTGATAAACGACAGAGATTGAATTTTGCATGTTGCATTATGTCATTCGAAAAAGTAAGTGTGTAGTGATTGCACAAGCGTTCGCTTGAATAGTAATTAGGATTTTGCGTGCTTGATGAAAACCTTCGTTATATTGTAACTACTAGATTCGTGTTTACGAGGTTAGATAGTGCCGCGCTCTCAACCGTAAAAATGTAAATAATAAATCTACGAGAGCAATTATAAACAGCATACTTTACCTACTACATCTTGTATAGTATCCAAGAGGTCAGGCTCGGCATGTTCAGAATGTTCGAGATTTCTACGCGAAATAAATATATACCCTTGCTTGTAGGAGGAATAAAACCTAATATTTATCTAGTTGTTCTAAAAACCCTGCCAAAGACGTGATTTCCAACATTTGCGTTAATGTGACTTTGATCTCATTCCTTGATTAAAACTTTTGGTTTACGCGTTGATAAAAAGTGGCTCTGTTAATGAACTTTTGTAACAAAGTGCTTAGTTGTTAGACATAATATCGATCCAATTATTATTCCACATCAATTCTGGTTTTTTTCGAGCTAAAATAAAAAGGCCTTATTGCTTATACATTTGTAAATACTTAGCAATATTGAGATAAATATAATTCTTCAACCCAGCATTTCAAAGATTTACAATTGGCGCTATTGCACAGCACAGCACAGCACAGAAAAATAAACTTACGCCAAGAGCGGAGACAGTCGGTTTATTCGCAAGTATTTAGCCACGATCTTTGTCAGGTAAAGTTTTAAAGTAAAAAAGAGAGAATGTAATTTGTATATTAAATTGGGAGCAGTCAAGAATTGGCAAGTAACTCTTGAAATGCAACACATCAACTACTGATCGACCCCTCAATCTTGCTTGAAACAAAAACAATTATAATTAATTAAATGCATATAAGTATTGAGTAGTTGCTTTAGATTACCCTTCTTTATTTGTAGGTATTATTTTATTGCTTGATTAGCTTTTCGGTGTGTCTATATTGGCAGTTTATTATTATTTTTAAGCTTTGGGTGTAACTGTCAGATAAACACTAGAAAGTAAGTGGTAATAATTTTATTGCTCATCAAAGTCTTACAGTAGATTCTACGCGTCTTTTCGTAAATAATTTCATATATACACTTTATTAAAGTTTTAATTATAAGGGAAAACTTTCTACTTATCGTTTTTTATGCCTGCCCAAATGCCCCCGAAAACATCCCGAAAATCACGGAAGCCAATTTTTAAATGATGTTTAAATTTAATTGATATCATGTATTTCTCACATGATTGTCAAGTCGGATGTTTCAACACATGTTTTATTAACACCTCTTGTCAATTTGAGGTGGAACATAACGTGTTATATATAGTATTTTAAGTTTACATTGTAACACATCCTGTATGTAATCACACTTCTAACAAGGGAATCGGGGTGGGGACACACAGTGCGACTATACATAAATGATTGCCAAGGAGTCCAAATCTTATTTCATTTGCTTCTTCCACAGGAAAATATTTTTGGATGAGGTTTTTTTTAAAGAGTTGCTATTTTAACACGCTCGAGTCAGGTATACACCATATAATTAAAAACCCCTCCCTTTACAGACTTGAAGAAGATAAAAAAGTCGATATTAATACAGTCATCCCTCGTTTATATCCCCACCTTGGGGCGGAGACTTTTGGGGATATATCTGAAGCGGGGATATAACTGAGTTAAGTAACACAAGAAATTTTATTGGCTAATATATTCCGTTAACAGAGTTTGGCGTTTTGATTTTTCTACAGACTCGTCTAAACGTCTAATCATATCACGTATATATTTTATGTCCTCTTCAGTCGTAAATTCCCTTTGTTCTAAAAATCGTTTAGCAGTCTCAAGCGCTTCTCTTCCTATCTTTATAGAAATAATTTCTTCCTCCTCTTCGCTTGAGTCTTCTTCTATAGGCACTTGCTTCTGCTGTGATATACCTTCAGCCTCCAGAAATTCTTCCAAAATTTCTTCCTCTGTTGGCAACTCCGCGCTTATCAAACCACCGTCCAACTGAGCATATTCTTCTGCTGTCATATTCATTGAGGAATCTGCAATCTTTAGGTGATTGAGAGCTGAAATCAAATTAGACATATCTTCATCGATTTCATCTATCTCCATGTTATCTGAGGCGGGTAAGATTCCCGTTAATTGCCAACAGTTTTTTATCGTCATTGGTTTGACATTCCTCCAGGCATCTGCAATCATTTCAACTGCTTCTTTAATGTTTACGTTTCTTATTACTTCTCCGTTGTCTAAGTCCTGAACCCACTTGGATACCAAAATTGTACGATAATTTACTTTAAAATTCTGAATAATTCCGGCATCGCACGGTTGAATATGAGACGTTGTATTTGGTGGGAGGAATTCTACTTGCAAGTGTTTAAGGCTGATGGAAGAACCATCTGTATGAGCGGGAC